TGGAGAAGACAATCTAGTGGAAAATAATGATAATTTTAAAAAGAGAAAAGAAAGAAAATAATGATAATAGCACCTAACACTTTCGTAGCACACCCTATGGGACAGTCATTCCCTCACCCCATCCCTTTTACAGGCCAGGAAAGTAAAGCACAGAAGGGCTAAGTGACTCGAGCAAGGTATTACGGCAGCATCTCACAACGGTGTTAAGTGACAGAGGTGGGTTTCAACCATGGTGATCTGGCTGCCGGATCCGGGCACCAAACCACACCACTACACGAACAATTTATACTGTGGCAGCAGTTCTCACCCTGAGCAGCAGTTTGTTGGGACAGGTGACATGTCATCCCTTCCCCACACTACAATGTAGTGGCTCCTCCCACCCTTGGGAAGAAGGTCCCAGAGGGCTCTCCTTGCCTCTGAGCCCCACCCAATCTTTATGACCCGCACCCAGCTGTCCTCTTGCTCTCAGCACAGACACTCCTCCATCTGTCCTGTCTCGGGATCCTTTCAATTCCTCTCCCCGCCTCCACTCCTATTACGCCCTCTCTTTCCCTTCTCATTCCACTTGTTGGCCCTCTTCCTAGAGGCCCAATTACTTCCTAGACACTCTTTTGTCATCCTCCTGAGTGCGGGGATTGCAGAGCTGTGCCGTCATGCCCAGATGTATTTACTGTCTTCTCTTTTCTCATGGCTCAAACCCCTTTCTTCTAAGCTAGTGGCTCCAAAATATTTATCTACAACCTAGATATCTCTGCTGAGTTCCACTAAAGGGTATCCAAATGTCTACTGAATATTTCCGTCATGGTGTCTCATAGATAGTCGAATCCCAATGCATCCTGCATGTCATCTCCCTGCCCTAAATTACTCCTCCAGTTGCTTATAGTTGCCATAGGATTTTTTTCATGTTTTTATCCTGTCTATTGTTATTTTTAGTTTTTAGAGTAGAGCCTGGCACAAAGACTTCAATGAGTATTATTTTTTTTTTGGTACCGGGGATCGAACTTGGGTTCTTACACTTGCGCAGCAGGTGACGAAACCACTGAGCCAAATCCCCAGCCTGAATGAGTAAGTTTTTATGGGCCCACGTTTTTGTGTGTAATATGACTTAGGAAACTTTTGTTAAAAATTACAAAAATAAAGCCGGGTGTAGTGGTTCACTCCAGTAATTCCAGCGCTGGGGAGGCTGAGGCAGAATGATCGCAGTGAGTTCGTGGCCAGCCTGGGCTACATAGCGAGACCCTGTCTCAAAAAAAAAAAAAAAGTTATAAAAATAGAACTGGGCATGGTGGTGCATACTTGTAATCCCAACAATCTGGGAAGCTGAGACAGGAGGATTTCGATTTTAAGCCCAGTTTGGGAAACTTATTGAGACCCTATCTCAAATTAAAAAGGGCTGGGGATGTAGCTCAGTGAGAAGTCCCTGGGTTCAATCCCAAGTGGCCTAAATATTAAAAAAGTAAAAATAAGTAATAATAAGGGCTGGAAATGTAGCTCAGTACTTCCTGGATTTGATGCCCAAGTGGTGTGTATGTGCATGTGCGTGTGTGCACGAGTACACTCAGGTGTGTGACAGAAATAAACCATGGCTATTTTAAGTAAAAGTGTAATTAACTAGAAGAACAGAAAGAACCAGGGAGCTCACAGAATCTGCAAGAAAAAGGAAGGACAGGCTTGGATGATGAACAGGGAGCAAAGTGCTCGCTGACCGAGAAAGAGGGAGCTGTGGCGATTTACAGAGACGCCCCCCAGCCTCAGGCGCTGCTAAGCAGGGCCTGTGGGAAGACTGAATGCCTGACTTATCCCG